TTAAAGTGAGTATTTAAGTAATCAAGTTATCAAAACTCAAACCAAGCAGTGACTCACCTATAAATGGATCCGTTTCAAAAAGCAGTTTTCATACTCTGGCTATCAAGCAGATGAAATCCAAGTTGGGAAAAGTGGTTTTAGTATCAGTTCCAGGTCAGAGATGGATCAATCAGGTTCATAAACAAAATAAAGAACAGGGTCTCCCTTTAAATCCAGAAAAAACTAAGGATATCAATGTGGACCACGATATTCATCTTAGAAAACATGAGTGGAGAAATTGTGGTTAACAAGTGAACTCTATCAAGTTACATTCAGCAATATTCAGTCATTCAGCATTAGGCCTTCATGAGTATGAAATTGTTTGCATGATGTAAGCCTAATGATGTAATGAGGGGGGTAAAGGACATAGTTTTCATTGAATTTAATGATTATTAATACTAAAACTATAATTAATACTAGAAATGTTCATTTACATTCAAGGGACCTCTGAACAAGCACTGAAACTCCAAATAGACATAAACAATTAGTCTGACGAGAAACAAATGAGCAAATGTTTCAACCTATAATGTGTCCTCCATGTGAACATTATAAACCTAAAGCACACAAGTTAACTCAAAATGAAATAAACAGTTTGTCATTTGCTGAGTGCTAATAAAATACGCATAATTAGAGATAAAACTAAAGTTGAGAGATTCCAAACTAAAACAACATTACCCTAATAAACGACTAACTAACAAAATGAACGGCTAACTGTCACACTGTCATTTGTTTAAGGCTTTAGGTAACCTTGGATATCAGGACTTCCACCAGAGGACTCTGTCAGCCTCCTCATCAAATACAGCCAGGATCACTTGCTTTATTGCAGCTCCACTTATTTTTGTACTTGGAATCCCATCTGTGTTGATTGGAGCAGTCGCAGCATCAACAGGTACAACAACGGAGAAATATATTTAATAAAATTGTTAAAATATATTTTCATTTATTTGTACTTATTATGTTTTTATGCCAGATTGGAACATGACCTTATATGGCTCCCCATCCCCCTTCGAGCGAGGAGACGCTGGTCAGGTTCTGCCAATTGCTCTGCAGTACCTCACTCCAAACTACATCTCCATC